CAACAGCAACAGCAACAGCAACAGCAACAGCAACATCAGCATCAGCATGGGCAGCAACAACAGACTCACAAGATTAACAATAACAGCACCAACACTTCATCAGGACATCACCACCATCATCACCACCACCACCATCACTCAGCCAGAGGTACATAGCTTTTTCTTTTTTTAAGGTCTTAGATTTTTTTCCCCCTAGAAGAAATAAATTTTAACCCATTGCCGAAAATGAAAAAAAAAGGGGAAAAATGCTTTGCCTATTTTCTGTATATTTTTGTGAAATGTCTGCCCATAGATGGCTCTGTTAATGCCTGATTTGAAATGGCGGGAATTTTTCACTAGTGCCATGAATATCGATGGTGTTATTTTTATTATAAACATTGTAAGTATTATAGTGTTTTTTAACATTAGTAACAGCAAAATAAGATAACGTAAAATATTTTGTAAATCAAAGAAAAGGGTGAACGGGCGAGACAGGCAGTACTCGTAACTGGCTCATTGGCGATTTAGTACAAGTGTAGCCATCTATGTGTAAAAACAATCAAACAACTCACAGTGGGCATGGCATGGCATGCCCATCGGTAACGGGTTAATAAGTTGACTTGTTTAGAAGGTATGGCTTGTACTTTTAATCCTATATTGACGGTGACAAAAATTTCTATGGGTCACTCATTCTGGTGACTTCTGGTAATCATGTAGCCTTTTGGCTGGGGATTTCGCAATGCACATTGAACTTTCCTGCCCGACTCCCTTGAGCCAGTTATGATGCCTCTAGCTATACCTGTCATGATCAGTTTATTTTCCATGATGGCTATAGGCATAGCCAGCTATATGAGGTTAAAGTTTCAGGTGTTTATTGTTGGAATTCTCATGTTTGTAGTTAAAAGATGTAGAAATATATTATATTTAGGATGTATCTTTCAAGCTGATTTATTTAATTTGAGAAAAGATAATCAATTAATTTGACATCAGATTATTTCATGCATTTGAGCTCTCTATTCTAATGATTATAGCTAAGGCAACACTTCTTGCACGATAGGAATTGAGTGGGTGGTAAGCATATATCAAGTTCCCAGGTCCATTCTCCTACCTCAATTATTTTTGTCCATATTCATACTTATATTGGATATCTATAATGCAGCACAACCCATCACAAGATTTAAGCCATCTAAGATATTATATTCCAAAATACTGTGTACTTGTTAAGAGCAAATCTACTGTAATACAGCTATTCCCATAACATCAAAAATGTAGACAGAGCTTAGCAGCATGTCTCGCCCCCAGTCATGAGATAGGTTTTGGGTATCGCAAGACGACATGCAAAACCTTAATAGCCATCGGAAAGATGGGAATGGGAAACAGTAAAAGGTGGACATTCTAATTACAAAAGTGCAGTAAATGTATCTAATATAGGCTAACTAATAATTATATCCTGTCAGGCTTAAGAGTGACCTTTATTATGAGAGAGAGAGTATATCATGCATAGATCTTTTCTGAGACTATTAACCCAATGACGCCGGGTGTACTAAAGGAAAATAAAACTCTACGCTCTGGCAAACAAAGGCAGCGCGCCGACTTTGAGCGCAGGAGTACGGGGCGTCAGCCCGAATCACTGGCTCGCCGCGCTTTGGCGCGCCGCCGGCTGGTTTGGCCGCACGCCACCTTTCGAGCGATTTGTTTACACGCGTATCGCCGTCACCCGGCGGCAAGGGGTTAAGAAGATGTATTATCTAGATTACAATGTGTATTATAGAAGAACAAGATTATTGTACTGAGACCTCATTTTTAATCTTGCCTTCTACAGTTTTATGTAATTATTTTTTACAGCAGCTGGCTCGGGTGCCACCTACCAGCAGCATCAACATCACCAACAGCAACAGCCACGAGCATCCACTATCAAACTCTTAGACCCCTACCAGAAGTGCTCCACAAAGGTAAATTCCTTTTTCTGTATGCCTTACGTCTAGCATCTTAACCCAGTAAGTGTGGGCTTTCTTAGAACCAAACAGAGTATATCTGTATGGACTAGGCCCACGTTCCAGGGACATTCTCTCATTGCATTTGCCTCAGTGAATCTCTTCCCACCTGCTCACTGAAATTTGATGATTGCTATAACCTTGAATAGAAGTGTTTACCCATTGCCGCTGGGGAAAATGAATAAAGAATGGGGAAAATGCTGTGCCCATTTTAATTTTTTTTTTTGTGAAATGTCTCTACACATAGATGACTCTGCTAGTGCTTAACCTTACCCAATTTCACCTTTGCTTGAATTGGCGGGAAAATGTATTTTTTACTAGTGCTATGAATATCGATGGTATTTTTTTTTATTATAAACATTATTATTACTATAATTAGCAATAGTTAAATAAGATAATTTAAAATATTTTCATGAATTAACCCAATGCCGCCGGGGAAAATGAACAAAAAATGGGGAAAATGCTGTGCCTACTTTTTATGTTTTTCGTGAAATGTCTGCCGATAGATGGCTCTGCTAGTGCCTGAT